TTTTTTTTAAGTAACTTGGTTTTTCGTGACCATGTTCAGCCAATTTTCTAATGTTTGACAGAATTTCCCATATTTTACTCCTATCTCTATTACGTCACTGCGTCTGTATAGAGTTAGATCCACCAATAAATATGTTGACGGTCACGTGATAATGTATGAAATTTGTACATTTTTCCCATCTTTGTTTAAATAAATGGCCTTTTGAGTTATGAATGTTACAGTATATAATAATCCATTGAACTCTGATCCCAAAAGACTACAGAAAAAGTATAAACAGAATGATGAATTAGTTGTGTTGATCTATACTTGTCCTGTGTTTTCCAGGTCGGCACGCGTGTGTGTTTTGCTCTTGTTCTCTGACGGTTTACTCGTCGAGCGTGGCGTCGTACTCTCTGCCCTGCGCTCATCTCATGTGTGGAGCGTGTTTGAGGCAGAAACACGCGTCTGGTTCTCGGAGACTGCAGATTAAATGCCTTGTGTGCGGCACGACTGCCTCCAGCAGAGACGTCACTCGAGTGCATCACTGAACATATTCATCATGAGCTCATTTGTTTGCAGATTTTGTGTATAGTTTTCATTAAAGTTTTTGAAGAAGCTCGAAAAGGACTTTGTTATTGGTTAATGTTTCCTAGTAATGTTTACATTAATCCTCTAAAGCACATTGTGTTTTGGGGTCGGTAAGATTTTTTAAATGTTTCTGAAAGTCTCTTATGCTTCACCAAGCTGAAGAATACAGTAAAAATGTGAAATTTTTTTTAGACTTTCAAATAGCTGTGTTCTATGTGAATATCTGTTAAACTGTAATTTATTTCTGTGATGCGCAGCTGTATTTTCAGCATCATTACTCCAGTCTTCAGCGTCACATGATCTTCAGAAATCATTATAATATTCTGCTGAGAAATATTTCTGATTATTATCAATGTTGAACACAGTTGTGCCGCACAATATATTTTTGTGGAAACTGATACGTTTTATTTTTCAGGATTCACAGATGAATAGAAAGCTCAAAAGAACAGCATTTATCTAAAATATAAATATTTTGTAACATTATAAATGTCTTCACTGTCACTTTTGATCAATTTAATGTAGCCTTAATGAATAAAAAGTATTAAGTTCCTTCAAAAAGGTCTCTTCAATATGACGGATAAATAAAATAAAGTTAAGTAAAATTAAAAAGTCAAAGGATTCTTGCACTAGACGTGCTGGTTTGGGCCTCGTCTCATATTTGTGACCCTGGAGCACAAAACCAGTCATAAGAGTCAATTTTGTGAAATTGAGATGTATGTATCATCTGAAAATCTGGAATCTGAGGGTGCAAAAAAAATCTAAATATTGAGAAAATCATCTTTAAAGTTGTTCAAATAAAGTTCTTAGCAATGCATATTACTAATCAAAAATTAAGTTTTGATATATTTACGGTAGGAAATTTACTAAATATCTTCATGGAACATGATCTTTACTTAATATCCTAATGATTTTTGGCATAAAAGACAAAGGTATAATTTTCACCCATACAATGTATTGTTGGCTATTGCTACAAATATACCCCAGCGACTTAACACTGCTTTTGTGCTCCAGGGACATATATATAAAACACCAGTGATTCACATCTACCTGAACTTACTCACATTCACATAAAGAAGGCTTGTTGACAAGTTTGGGTGAATAAGGGCTAAACGCACAAATATAGCAGCTTTATAGTATCTTTAAGTAAACTGCTAGGTGCCATGCAACATGTAATGAGGGATTGCATGAATTATCACAAATGTAGTGAAGTAAAGAATACATATACTGATTCAAAAATATAGTGAAGCAGAGAGTAAAGTTGCTAATATCTCAGTAAAACTACAAAGATACTCAAGTACTCACTTTTGGTCAATTAAATGTGTTCCTGATAAATAAAAGTATTCATTTTAATTGTTAAAACTGTATATCTAAAACACATTTCCCATGTGAAGTTGAATTGTTTTGGTCCAGTGGATCCTGCTGTTGTCTGAGGAGTGAATGAAGGATCCTTGAGCTCGTCGTGTTCGGTGGAAGGCTGATGAAGGCTGAACTCTCTTTGTGTGTGTTTGAACAGCTCTGTCCTCTGCTGTCTATTGTAACGCTAAACCCAAGTTTTCCACACACACTCCTGAAGGACACACACACACACACACACACTCTCTCACACACACACTCACACACACACAC